TTATTTGGAGCTTCGGCCGGAGAATTCACAAGACATGTCAAAGAGTCAGAGGTTCTGACTTCACGGGAGAGTTGCCACGTCAATTCTGAAGAACTCTACCCCAGACCCATGTATTTAGTTCAGAGAGAATAATCAACATGCTGCATAACAAGATAGAATCAGAACGCCTATCAGCTGACGCCAACAGGCAGGAACAGGGAGACGAAACACTGAGAGCACAGCAGCCAAGCTTACAGGTGCGTGTGCTCAGTCAGGACAGTATGAACTGATAAACTGGGTCAAAGTTATGGGCCTTGGAAAATATTTCCCCAACAATTATTAGCATATTAATTATGAATAAATGGGCACTGGCCTTGACAACCTAAATCTAACCAGTTCATACTTAAAAACAAGTGGACGTTTGAGCCAAAAGAAAAATCCGATGTACTCAAATTTTCTTTGAGTTTCTCGAAATAAGCTTTGCATGTCTGTCATTACCTTGAAGAAACTAAACTCCAGCAGTGATTTATCCAATGAAACACTATATTGAAACCTTTCTTTAACAAGTAAATCCCATCAGTGCATGCCTCCCTTTGAGTGTGGCAAGAAGCAGGAGATGAAACCGTGTTTAGACTAAAGTGAGCATTTTCTATTAAGAATGGCTGGAGTTTTAAAAATAGTATAGAACTAATATTATTTATGAATATGTATTTTAAAACGGTTCAGAAACAGCTGCATGCAAAAAAAACATTGGGGACTGCCAAACACAAATGACATGATGTTGTAAAATGGTTCAAACTTCATCAGCGGTTATATCAACATATGTAGAGAACGCCTATGAAAGAATGAAACAAACACGCCACTGCCCACCCATCAATCCTTCCAGGTTCTGGAATAAACAGAATAGGGACACGGGGGCAAAGACATACTTCATTTCCTGCTGCTCACAGTGAAGGGCAAAATGACAAGGAAAAGGAAGAAGGCAAAAAAGTTGAGAGGAATAGGGAGAAAGACAGTTGAGAAATGGCAGACCTCCCTCGACCTAGATACCTGGGGGAGTATATCAGAAAATGTCCAATGTGTGTGTTTTTAAAAAAGGGGGGGGGAGGTATTTGGAGAGGTGTGTGAGCGTAAGAGTTATGAAGGCTACCTTTGTCCGAGTACTGCGTCTCCTCTGAGCTGCTGGAGGAGGCTGAACAGTCTGTAGAAAAAGAGTTATATAATAAGATGGGTTAGACTCAAAAGGGAGTCGTTACAAAGTAATAATGTCAAGCACTAGAGAAAAATGATATCATTTCTGGGAAAAAACATAAACAGGGCTGCTCCCACAGGCTGCTCCCATCTGATGAGATTACTGCCTTTTTAATGGGACCATTTATCTGGCTGGCAAAGAGGAGTCTTACCTCTGTGTCTCTTGTGTTTCTGCTTCTTGGATTGTGAAGACGACCTCTTCTTCTTCTTCTTCTTCTTCTGCTTCTTTTTCTGTGGTTGTTCCTGGTTCTCCTCCAATACCCTTTTGGGCTTCGCTTTCACCTCTTTCCTCCTACGCACAGAATTACGAAACAAACTCTTATTCCCAATATAAAGAAGCCAATTATCCGAGTATTAGTAATATGCTTGAATGAATCTTCTCTAGCACTTCAAACAGATGAAGGCTTTTCATGCATTTTGTTAAGAAGTCTACTGGAACACTCAGAGCAACTTTAAAAATCCTAACTTAATGTAAAAAGCCTTGGCCTGAAATAATTCATGACAGACTTTCCCGGATCACGGTCATCTTTGTACGGATTTCCATCTATAATCAACCTCAAAGCTACATATATAAAATATTTTATGTATAATCATTCTCTCTGGCTCATAAGGTCATTTAACAGACATCAATCATAGTTTTAATCCTCAACCCTGGCATGCTTCAAAATCATGTGTGCTGATTGTCCTTGGTGACCTCCCCTACTTCTATCAGGCAAGTGCACACTCTCCACAATCTCTAAAATCACTCATCGCGAACAAAAAGATCTAATTTTTTTTAATGTAAAAATATCCCGAAGGTACTCACTTGTGGTGGTAGTTGAGTTTGAAAGAGCATTCAGGGCATAGTCCTAGAATATTAAAAAAACATGGCATTATAAAGGTTTTCATTGCTTTTAATGTCATTTCATTATTATAACAGCAATTTGAAAAGGAGCTGTGAGTCTAAGTATTGCATTTCTTACACTAGTATTCCTTCGTTATAAGGTTACATAATCAAGATGTCATTATAAGTATTAGACACAAGTTATACTTTCAAATCTAGTAGTATGTGTACATTGAGGAAATGGTTCTACAAAATACATTATAACAGTATTGTCTGCATAAAGGTGGATGCTTCTTCCATCATGTACATCTGGTCAATTATTTATATATAAACTTAAGAGGACCAAGGACAGATCCCTGTTGAACTCCTGTTTTTTTTATTTTTTATATTTTATGTTATTTTGGCATCGTAATGCTAGGTGTTTTGAGAAATGCATTCATTATTTAATATTTATTAACACAGTGCACCAAAATCCCTACAATTATAAGTAGTTCCTTAATAAATTCACAAGATTCTGTTTCATCAAACACAAAACAATTGGGACCGTCAAAAGATTTGAATTATAACAAATTGGAAAATAAATTGTGTTCATGAGGAGAAAGGTGTCTGGATTTGACCTGTTGCACTAGCTTGTTAAAAAGCCTGTCATTTCCTGCTTGACTGAGTTCAAAGGGTCTTTCTCTGAATTACGGTAATTATTCTAACAGGATTTTCTGCAATATGATACCTGAAGGAGGATTATTATGAGCTGCGTCTTAGGATGGAAACCCCCACCAGGCAGCCACACAGAGGCAGACACGCACACATAAACCCGCAAACACACACATTCAAAACTGCAAGCACACACACTCCTTAAGAAAGAATGAAGAGGGGAAATTAAAACATTATGTGTGTTTTAGCTTACTCAGTTTGACCAATGCATTTTTCTTCTCGCCGTGTTCCACATAGGCAAAATTCACCTCCCAGCTTTTAAGACCTTCCTCTTTCTCGCAGCGTTTGTTTCCACACTGGAACTGACCTGGAAGAAAACAGAGCATATTATGATCTGTATGAATACATACAAATAATTCAATTATATTTACATTCATGTGCTTTTTGGCCATCTATCTAGTATCTACAGCAATGTAAGACATGAGAATACATTTCCTGTTTTTTGATAACCAATTTGTAAGAGGTTTAACTTTTTTTTTTAAAGCCACAGAACCCTGCGACTAAAGTATTGTGTGTCAAGAATTACCATGTGAGAGAAAGAAAGACAGAAAAATCTCGGTAAAGCAAAAAAGGCAAATGTTTTATTTTAGGATAGAGAAATGCAGGCTATAAATCTCCAAAGGCTTAACATTCTGTCAGGCAACCTCCAAACCCCGCTGCTCTCCTTCACCCCACTCCGTCCTTCTTATCCCACTGCTCCTTCTCATCTCCATGTCTGTGCCTCACCTTATCCCCTCAGGCCTCCCTCCAGCCTCCGCACAGCCTGTCTATTATCCCTGGAGGAGCCTAAGGTGGCATTGATCTGGTCTTAGGGTTTCCCTGACATTGTAACAGAGGGAGCGAGTGCGTCAGAGCAGTCCATTCTTGGCAAAGGGGTAAGAAATTCTCCCTGCTCTGAGGTGAAATTACGCCTTAACTCATCTGCCTAAACTCGACACACTAACATCCAGGTGAAGTGAGGCATGCTGTGTCAGATTAGAGCCCTATGACGTCAGAACAAAAAGGCACTCCTGGCTCAAGTCCTGGGAAGTTGACTTTGTTTATTTGGGATGCCATAACATTGGATTTGGTTATACAAAAATAAACTATTGAGATGATAGATAAGTAGGAATATTGAGCTGTATTTTTATTTATTGTTCTGGACCTAAAGACACAACATGCTTATCTTTGCAAGCCAGAAACATTTAATTGTATTGCTTTGACACCCCATAGTCCCTAAACTTTGAAACTCTGGTTTATTATCTGAATGATTCTACAGTAAATGGCGTAAGCCCCCAAAAATGTAATATTTTGTCTAGGTTTCACAGTTGTTAATTCTCTAACTATAGTGGGACCAACTGCATTAAACAATTAACACTTTTGGACCATTAAATCTCTGAACAACACGTCATTCTTAGGAAGCTTCTACATGTACGTATTTAAGCTATTTTTTAAATAACCTAAAACGTCATAAGTGAATAGAAACTGCAAATGCCAGGGAAATCCCTTTTTTAAATCCTTGGTGTTTAGTGGGTGTGACTTGGGAGAAGGCCATTGTTTTCTACTCTGGGCCAGTGTGACGCCATGAGCAATTACTGGTGCTCGGACACCTGATGGAATCCCGTCTTCACCATCATCAGTGACGTAAATCACAAAGGCATGACAGCCAGTCTCTCCGTAAGCATGTAAATCCCCTGGCTGCTGCATAGAAGCAGCTCAATGTCGAATATAAAAGAATGTGATACATTTGAAGGTTGCGGGGTGGAGAGTGTGAATGTGGACCCTCAAGCTACTAAAACCAAAACCCTGACAGAGTGGACTCAATAAGAAATGTGTTTCTAGGCAGCTTCTTTGTCGAAATAAATGTTGAAAACTGAATATAACCAAGGTGAGGAAACTATTCACTTTTTTTTCTGATAGTATTCAGCCCCCTGGCCCCACTTTTCCCACATGAAGGCAAATGACTCCACTTTTACTGGTGCCCTACTCAGAGGGCAGAAAATAGTACCACATAGATCGTCACTGCACTACGTGATAGGCATTAGCCCGTTAGATGCCTATTTGTTGTTATTGGGAATCCTCTCACTTCAGGTGATACTCACATGCTCAATGAAAAGAGCTGGCAACAAACTGGCTGAGTAAACTCTTTAAGAAAGGAAACTACCATCCTCCTACGTCAATGCACGCTAATTCCACCAGATGGCTGCATGATTAACATACTGAAGTCAATGGGGAAGTGACCTAAGCTAGTACTATCTCTCACTTTGTATTCACTGTTGATCAATACAGTACATCTATATTATGAAACAGGGCTTTTAAGTTTTAATTATATGGGGTATTATGACCAAGCCAGGACAACACATGCCAAGTAGATTGTACACACTTCAGCCTATGCATATATTTTTTTCTAACATAAATTAAATATTTTTAAATGACTTGTTTGACATTCATGACGCTTTTTGTATTGCTACTGTGCCTTAGATAAGAATATAAATACCACTTTCAGACTTGAGCTGAGGAAAACCACAGTGCTTCTCTTTTAAAAGTAATACCGGCTTACAATATTTTGTACAAAAATACTTATTAGTGTGACACACACATTCAATCCAGACTTGTCATCATCTCCTTTTAAGGCTAAGTACTTAGATATATTAAAACACAGTTTAATAAAAATGAAATATAATGAATTTAGTGAATGAGTGAGGTGCTGATAGGTGGATTTTGTTACCTTTATACATGGCCAGGCTAGCCGTTTCCCCAAATGTCCAGTGTTTATGTAGGCTAAGCTAACCGGCTAGTTGCAGCTTTATGGATAGCATACAGACAAAAGTATCAGTATCTATTATGTCATTCAAATCTAAACAAGAAAGAAAATAGCCATACTTCACACAATGTCAAACTAAAGCTATGCTATGCTAAAAAAGTAACACAAACAGTAGTTCATGTTAAGAGTTATGTGCTATGCTATACTTTGTTTGGTTTGGCCCAAACGCCCACACCATGTGAAATAGTTATTAAGCTTTTGATAGCAGTGCGGTTTTGCAGTCAACAGTGCTCACCACCCCCCACAAGGTCGTAGGTGTAGAAAAAAACTGAACAATCCACACTCACTGACCCCAGACAGGCATATCTTCCAATATGGGGAAAGCAACTGGTCTCCAAAATATTTATTTTTCCAACAACACTGTCCCAACTCTGACTCTGGATCATATCTAGCCTTTTTTATGTCTGTTTTTTCCATTAAAAAGCACTTCAGACTGCTGACCTAAAGCTCAACACTCTCTATTTTGCAACTTGTATTTACTCCACTGAATCCTGTTAACTAAGCAGACCGAGAGCATGACATACTGCTCAGATTATGTTTCATACTATATGTTTGCAAAGCCCTGCAATACACCCGTCTCCCTCTGTAGTACACTAAGAAATACTGATATTTATTAAACCGTATACTAGCTCACAGATACACACATTAAAGCAATAAAAACAGAAGCACTGGCAGTCTATCATCTGAAAGCTTTGCGGGCTGAGGTGTAATTAGCCATCACTGCTAACAGTTACTTTTCCAAGGCCGATTTATTTAGTCTGGCACAACAGAACCTCCTCCTTAAATACAAATCTTGACTATATTGAAACCCAAGCCATGCTAAATCAAATCTTTTAAAGCATCCTGGACTATATCACTTTAAATTATCCATCAATTGTATTTGATTTTAAACGGGATACTAGGGTAAACTGATTACAATATGCAAACCCAACCATTTGTTAGCAGGTGAAAATCAAACAGATAATGGAATTGCATTTATCTGCAGGCCAATCATTTCAATGTCACAGTGGAGGCTTAGGGTTGACTCACAAAGGTAAATGTGACACAGATGAGTCAAACCTGATTCCTGTTGTGAGTGTGTGGTGGCATGCGTGTAAAAAAAAATTTTTAAGACAGGAAACGTACATAAGCCAAGAACATAGTCAATTTACTTTGACAGGAGGCCCACCAAAAATAAGCATGGCCTCTATTACCTTTGGCCCCCTCCTGAAAGCATGACTACTGCTCAGAAGGGACAACACAGGAAAACATGACTAAGAAAAAAGAGTCTGCATACCTTCCACCCAACATGTACATCTGCTCCAATACGTTTAACTCATTACAATTTTGGTTATACAAAATATACCTTACAGATTGACCTTTTTTTGGAAGATAGTAACCTTGCGTTCTGATTTGCAAAACATGACAAAGAAATAGCATGGGCTTTGATGATTAAACTAAAAGTGTTTTTTAAAAGGAGGTCACTTGTTTATTAGCTTTAAAAATGTTCTATGCGGAAGAAATCATGTGATGTTGCTAGACCTCAAGAAAATAAGATGCAATTAAGTTAAAAACAATATGAAACTTTTGTTAGTTGACAAAAAAGCTCCACAGGGCTTCTTTACGATTTGGTTTATAGGTGTCCTTTATAGCTTAAATACTTAATTCTCTTTCCCTTATACACAACTATTCATCATACATTTTTCAGAGCCATAAATGTTTCTGGACCAGACAAAGAGTAGATCTCATTTTTCAAGATGTCTGGAAACGTTAGGCCTCCTGGGGGAGGATAACATTTGATCCTGCTCTCATGTGCTTGATTCCAGGACATAATCTTTCCCTTCTCTTTCTCCTTCACTGTTTGAAGAAAAAAACAATTTCAACCTCTAAAACTGCACCTTCCTTAGGCCCATATCACGCTGTGGTCATTAGAACAGAGGTTAGCCCTCTTTGTCATCGACAGCGTTACCTAATTTTTTGACCTAGCCAAAGCATTTGATACTGGAGATCACCACATTATGTCTAATGTTATGTTGGTGTCTCGTTTCGGTCATAATGCCATTTGCTGGTTTCAGAGTTATCTAACCGACCGTACTCAATGCGTCAGGTTGGGTAGCACTGTCTCTGACCCTGTCACCTTGGAGAAGGGAGTTCCACAGGGCTCTATTTTGGGGCCTTTGCTCTTTTTATTATATGTAAACAATATTTGTAATC